TGGGAAAGCTCATGGAAAAACACTAATAAAAAATAATAATACCATGCCAGTATGCCCACAGGCAAATTGGGCAGATTACCTAGCAATACTAACTCAAACATACGGGAGAACTTATCCTGCTCAACAGAGCAATGGATTCATCTGTTAACTAGATATTATTATTATTAGACAAAATATTAGTACTGTACTGGATTCCTGTGATGGATCCCCTCTCCAGACTGGCTGTTCCATTTCTTGGGCTCCTGTCACTCACCTTGCCCCCTTGCCCCTCAAGGATCCCTTCCTGGATAGGGTATTTAGGCTACAAGCTGATCTCTATGTGGACCTGTGGATGTGTTGTTCAATTTGATAAGTGTGAGCAGACTATCAAAACCTAACAGAAACAGTTAGGCACAAATGCAAAATAAATAAATAAATAAAAATAAGCAAGTAGAAGTTTATTAAAAACATTTAGATCATACATAAACCCCTGAACTGTGAGCAGTTCCCCGAACCCCCACTCTGTTCTTCCCTCTTGCTGACTGTCCTATCACTATTATAGCATTTCTTATCTCTAGGCTATCTTTCTCCATCTCGCTTCAGTCTTATCCCTATCTCTATACCATCTTTCTCCTATCTGCTTTCTATCAGAGACAAACCTCAGTTTTGTATCCTCTCTCCTCCATGCACCCCACTTCACAGAATTCCCTAAGCTGTGATTACCTGGCACCAACCAAGATTGCCCAGCTTCTCCTTTCACCATTAGAGCTAACATCTTTTAAGGAAGCAAGAGGTTTCTTGCCCCACCTGACCCCTACCCTTACAAACATTTATTCCCAAAGAAGATAGAAAGAGGTTCCTGTTTACTTTGCACCACAATCAATATCTAGTGGGACTGTTGGAGTAATTGGAATTTTAAAATCTTTGCAATATGGATATCAGAGAAACAGTGGCTGCACCTGGACTGCAGAAATAATGCAGTTTGATACCACTTTAACTGCCATGGCTCAATGCTACAGAATTCTGGGATTTGTAGTTTTGTGAACTATTTACCCTTCTCTGTCAGAGAGCTCTGGTGCCACAACAAACTACAAATCCCAGGATTCTGTAGCATTGAGCCGTGGCAATTAAAGTGGTGTCCAATTGCATTATTTCCACAGTGCAGATACAGCTCATATCAACAGAACAGGAAGTTTTCTTCACCTCTGCAGACAAAGGTTTTTTAATAAAGATGTAGTCCCGTGTTTCAGGTTGTGTGTATGGTGTAGTTCTGTCATGAAGAAGAGGGCAAAAAGGGGGTTTAGTTTGCAATCCCAAATAGAAATGTTTGGATGTACCTTTGACTAAAATCAGCCTGCTTCCTGCCACTTAACTCCCCCGGCTAGTGTGAAACCACAAAACTAGAACATCAAGGAATGGAACATGTGCCCCCTAGATGCTGCTAGACTGCAGCATTCATCATAGGCTATGTTGGATAGTTAAAATGGGAGTTTGAGGGGGGAAGCAGACGAGAGCTTCCCAGACGCTTTGGGCCGGCGCGCCGCGGGGCCGCAGCCTCTGCACCTCGGCGCACCGGCGGCGTCCCTGGAAGGAGCGCTAAATCAGCGCTCCTTCCTCAAGATAGGGAAAGTGCACCCTAAAAGCGTCGGGTGCACTTTCCCTGTCTTTTCCACCGCAGCGCATCCGGTCGCTGTGGCGGGAGGTTGCCCCCGGAGCGCCGTCCGTGCGGAGGGCCGGCGGCTCCGAGGATGACCTCAGGGAGAGGAAGG